CCCCAAAACCCCAAAACCCCAAAACCCCCAGAACTGTTTACTAGTTGTTTTTAAGTGAGATATTTAATAAATTAATAGAGCAATAATAGAAATTAAATAAATAGTCATAAAATTTAATGGAAGGTAAATTATACTAAAACATATCAAACCATTTTGCTTAAATACTATATAATTATAGATCCTACATCAACTATCATAAAATAGGTCTAAAATACAGCTTTATTGTCTGATGAGAAGAAGTTGCAGGCAGAGCAATAGCAGTAAAACTCTGCTGCTGCTCCAGACACTCAGCAAAGCGTCTAGACTCATGAATTGCTCTCAGAGTAAGTTTAAATCACTTTATTATCTCTATTTAAACACTTTATAACTCATATATTAGATGGTCATTCTGGTATGTTTATACATTGTCTCACAGAGAGAAGAAGAAGCTTGGCAAAAAAGCAAGATTCAATGAGTACTAGCTACATGAGGTCTACTCCTTTGGAACTGTATGATTACTTTTGATAGCAAAGTCATGCTTATATAGATTGAGGACTTTTGGAGGATGTTCAATAATGTGTATCAAATCAGCGAGATCATTCCAAACACTGACTTCTTGTTGTTCAAAAAGGGGATTAGACCAGAGTGGGAAGACCCATATAACAAGCAAGGGGGTAAATGGGTCGTCACTTTGCCTATTGAAGAGGACATGGAGGAGGAGTGCAATGAAGCATGGTAGAATCTAGTATTGCACATGATATCGGGATAATTTGAGAATTATGAATTGATCAATGGAGCTATCTTCTCCATCAGAGAGAAGCATTACCGTATCACTCTCTGGTGTAGCGACAACAATAACATTCCTAAGATCAAGCGCATTGGCCACAAATTTAAGGAGATCTGCCAACTCCCTGAAAAGTATTTATTCGGCTACCAACTTCACTAGAAAGCTCTTCAGCATCAACTTGACAATGAAGCCTTCTTAAAACTTAACGATTGATAAAATGGCCACCGATATCTAACTAGTTTGATAATTATTGAAAATATTAATGGATCGAGAAGCAACAATTAATAGCAACACTACCTATTGTTTTAATAACATGTTCATCTACTTACACTAATTAATATACAAAACTCTGTTACAATGAGCTCAAACAATTTTATGGGGTTTTGGGGTTTTGGGGTTTTGGGG